CCCCAAAACCCCAAAACCCCAAAACCCCAGACACGCAAAGGATATTGACCGTATTTAAACAGCGTAAGTTTATTCATTTTATAAAGTTTAATATGGAAGGAATCACATGACAGCACCAAGATGAAACTTGTAGTGCCAAGTGCTCCACCAAAGCTGATTTTTATATTGATGACAAGGAATTGTATGTTTGTAATAACCACCACCGCGCTTGGTATCGCAATGATGATTGTACCAAATTAACAGACTTCTCCACAGTTAGAACGACAATTGAAGTATTTGGTATTTTAATGAAAAAATTTGAGGGATATCTTCTTGCTCAAGAAGAGTCAGAAGAAGTCCAAGATCTTTTGATTAGAACTAGCCGCTCAAAAATTATAATGAATGGATTGAATCTTCAACTTAATGAAGCTAAAAGAAAAACAAAATACTACAAGTACGACTCTATATTTAAAAAGATAAAGACGATTAAGAATGAAATCACAAGCTATTCCCTTTATTCTGAGTTTTCAAAATCCGATAGCTGGAATAATTCATTTTTGAAAGTAAACCGGAAACACAAAAAGAGTATTAACCTTGATGATATTGGGCAAGAAGACAGGTATGTTTGAACCTTAAAATGCTTACTTTCTATAGTGGAAGTTCTACTGAAGAGGACAATCATAAATTAAGGAAGAATACTCCAGAATTGACGAAAATATCGGACATGAAAGCCAAAAGGTTCCTTGAAGAATCTCTCGAGCAACCCCCATTAAGGACAAGCACAACCACTCACAATAAGACCAAAGGACACAAAGATAGAAGAGTTCAGTCTAAAGATCTAAGCAAAAAGGAACCCAAAGAAGAATCTAAGGAGAACAGAAACTATCATCCCAAAAAGAGAGAGCTCAAAAGGATTTCCCTACAAAGAGAAGAAGATAGAGAAGGTTATCAAGAAGAGCAAATTTGTACTAAAAGTAAGAGACAGAAGAGACAAGACGCAACGTGTTCTTGAAAACAAGAAGATGCCAAGGCTGTAGAAAAGCGAAAGCAGATAGAAAAGGAGCATGAACAATATAAACAGCAAAACCAGACTCTTACTAAAGAAGTTGCAAACATTAAAAGACAAAATGCTGACTTACTAAAGAAATATGAAAGGGACATGCAAAAGGAAAAAGAAAAGAACGATAAGCTGGTTCAACAATTTAAGGATATGAAAGATACTCATGAAAGGATGAAGCAATCATTAATCTCTAATCTCGACCTTTCCAAGCACTCTGACTTCAGCCTCCTCTACAAAATTACCACTGAGGAAGACAAACAGATCGGACCTGAAACTACACTGATACTTAAACTTGACAATCCCAAACACATGAAATTTCTAATATCTCTGAACAAGAGAATGCCAGACATTGGTAGACTTGATCTTTACAACATCCCTCTGAGCTGCCAAGAAGTCAAGACTTTCCTGGCCACCCATTTCCCCAACAAAGTGAGGGTCCTCCATTTTAACTGTGGCTCTTCTGTGAGTAGTTGTGTGCCCTTTTACTTGGAGGAACTGGTAGAAGTGAGTAAGAGAGTCACTGAAGTGTTGGGTATTTATAAATTTGAAGTCTCTCAGGACCAACTCGTCGCCCTCTTCTCCGCTAACAGACATAAAGAGTGGTTTGGGTTTCCTTACTGCAAACTCTCCCTGTCTTCTGTTCCTGATTTCGGAGGAACCCTCGCTGGAAGTACGATGCAAGGATTAAATTTGGATTTCTGAGGAGGCTCTTTGTATGGCGACTGGGGCAACAATGAGTCGCACTTTGAAAACCTGATTGCTGGGCTTTCCAAAGAGGAGGATTTTAGGAAGAATCTGAAGAGGATTGGAATGGACAAGTGTGGAATGGAGCAGAATGTTGTGGAGAAGATTTTGGCTGATCATGGCTTTGGACATGTCGAAATTATTGATTACTCGAAGTAGATGCCAAAACTGAAACTGTTAAAAAGAAGAATTTTATTTTTGTCAGTTTTAATCTCGTTTGATTATATTGCTGAAGATAAAATAAAATTCAATGAGTCTAACTAGGTGTGGGGTTTTGGGGTTTTGGGGTTTTGGGG